CCTCGGCATAGTAGTGGTGCCCATGGAAGAGCCTGCCTCAGAGCCTCGGCGTAGTGGTGCCCATGGAAGAGCCTGCCTCAGAGCCTCGGCGTAGTGGTGCCCATGGAAGAGCCTGCCTCAGAGCCTCGGCGTAGTGGTGCCCATGGAAGAGCCTTTGAATGAGTTGATAATGATCCACATTTTGCATCTATTAACACAGCTTATATATTCCCTAAGTAGAGAAGTTTCTGGAAAATGTGTGCATGTGAAAGGTAGTTATTACTATTTTAGATTTAGAACAATTTCACAGACAAAATTACTGATTTTTCTATTACTTATTAAATATTGTGTCATGTAGAAACATAACTTATTAGTCATTCTCGATTGCTTTGGCACCTTTCATGAAACATACTTAACATTCTCAGGACTATAAGAACATTTCTAAGAATAGTTAATGCATACAGTATAACACAATGGTTTAGCTGGAAAAGACTGTAACCAAAAATAATCAACTCATGTCTCAAAAGCAATAATTCCACCAATGAATTAGTCAGTGCCATCAAAATGAAAAATACAATCAGCATCGTCTTAACCATGAGATGCTTACATATATCATGAGTATGTCAGCGCACAATTCTAAATGATGGTTGGTTCCCACTTTCTCATGGTCACTGACTGATCATTTTACAAACTGATACTTATTCATGTCAGAGACACCAGTTTCAACACTGCAAGGCTCTACATTACAGTGTGTACAGTTCACTGGCAAGAGGAAGCACTCGAATGCACATGTAACTCCTTCAGATCTCAGGTCACAGTACAATAGCAAACAAAAAAGTCACACAGCACTGTAGAACACAAAAACAGCAACAAGGCAAAACAAAAACTGAAAACAAAACCATTTACTGTGTGAACCAAAAACACAACAATGCTGTATCACTGCAGTTTATGGGATGCATTTTTACATCATTCTCAAAGCTTGGTTAACTGTTCTGCATGTGGTGACTAACACGATGATCACAGACATATACAGTTTTGGGTGTAAATTTATTACAATGGGAAACTACATAATCTATTTTGACCAACAAGACTAAAGCAACTGAAAATAGTGCCAAATGATGACAATTGTACAACCCACATTTGAAAATTTGTGTAGCAATTAGAAATTATGTTCTGCTGTGCAGGAGTGATATCGTGGGCCAGGGATTACACTTGTTGTTTGGCAAATGTTAATTGCCATTTGAGAAATGCCACAAAGTAATCGAGAGAAACTGTAAATCAATGCTGATTGTACTTTTCATTTTGATGGCACTGACTAATTCTCAATGGTGGAATTATTTCCTGTTAAGACATAAACCATAGTGCTGTGCTATATGCATGAACTGTGCTTAGAAATGCTCTTATGCTCATAAGAATGTTAAATATGTTTCATGAAAGGTGCCAAAGCAATCTAGAAAACTAAAATAAAGCGCACAAAAAGCGCAACCACTAGAGGGCGACATGTTCTCACTAATGCATGGTTGATCTTTTTGTAAAATAACAGGAAAATAGCAAGAAGAAGTGCAAGATAAATATAGCTCATGTTAAAGTACATTAAACAGTAAAGGTGACAGTGGTGGATTGGTAAGAAATAACTCACGGAGGCATCTGTGGCAGACTGCAGGTACAGTCCCTCATGGACGCTCTGATGCGAGGCGGCCTTGCCAGACCTCATCACTATTCCTGCTATCCTGCCAGTCACACAACCTGTAAATATCACCCCTTCAACCCTGCAAGAAAACAATGAGAACAGGTGGGAGGCGCTGTGTCCGCCGGCTGCCCTGCGCCACGCTGGGCAGTGGGATGTAATCCACGGGCTTTTTTCAGCCATAAATAAGAAAGAGAAGAATGTGACGTCTGTTGGTCACAGAGCAAGAGGAATGGGAAGCGGGAGCTGTAGGGTGTGAACAGGTCTGCATTGTGCCCAGTAATGGTGAAAAGCACTTGCTTCCTAGCAAGGGAACCAATATGCTGTGACAAGGCAGAACCAGAGACTGCTTTTTATATTGTCATTAATGAACAGTGGATGCACTGCACTGATGGCGAGCCCTTTTATTTCCCTGAGAAAGGGGGCTGGTCAGGGAGGCAATCGAAGGTAAAATCGATACAGATGAATGACTAGCTTGGGGAAGACAGGGCATGCAGTTGTGAGGCTCGCTATTGAGTCAGGCCAGGCTCACAAAACAGGAAACAATTTAACAACGAAAGCAAAAAGTTTATTTCGGGGTCAGGACATCTATGGCAGGCCTGTGTGGGTAACTGCCCGACACAGAAGAATGCGAAGTGCTCCCTATGTTTTCAGCGATGGGATGTGGGGGTGTGAAAAGGGAAAAACGCGCCTGGGAAAGAGGGACATTGTATTTTTGTCCTAGCATATTTTACAAGTTATAGCTTTGAGAATAATTCAGACTGCATGATAAACTACACTGGTGTTCAGTGTTATAGGTGGTCCATTCTTCAAGGCCATGTGCATACGGCTTTGCCGGGTCAGACAGTGCCACCAGCTTTACCGGGTCAGACAGCGCCACCTCTTGAATGGACTGCCATTTTTTATCAAGAAGCTCGCCTAGCAACTGATCAAACCAGGTATAAAATGATTCAGTAACATAATTCAATAACATTTCACTCAACATTGAATGTGTGAAAGATTCTAACAGTAATATGCAATGCCAGTAGTTGTTCTAACCGTGACAACAGGCATAGGAATAAGGAGAAATAAGAAATAAAGCATAATTAATAAACATAAATCGAATGGCAAGCCATTAAACAAAGCTGCCCATTTAAAAACAGTCATATATTAACAAAAAATTAACATAATGGAGTGCATTTTCATTTATATAACCACTGCACAGCACATATGCCCTTGTCTGTCCGTACGTTTACTTCAGAGTAAGAAAATCGAATTACTGTGTTAGTCCGACTAAAACCGGACTTGTAAAGTATAGGTAAACGTGTTAGTCCGACTGAAATCGTACTAAATCGAATTTCTGGAAGTCGGACTAAGACACCCAGATAAAACGATTGGGAGTCGACTTGCTGCTGAATGTATACGCTGAATCGGACTCACACTTGCCTATGCGCTCCATAGGTTAACCTGAAAAAGCCCGATACTAATTAGTTGAAAGGAGCCATATCGTCACCTATTGTAGCAGAGTGGGACATACTTCGCTCACTAAATCGATTCCCCTCCTATGCATGTACACTGGCACAAGGACAGCAGTCCTATTAAATTGTGTAGTCATGGCATGATTTACCTGTGCATGTAAACATACTCTGAGAGACAGAGAGAATGGAGAAAACGTGCAGCGTTGCTCAGAAGATAAAACGTAATCTCGCCTCTCTGGATCACGGTTACTTACAATTTTTTGGAATCCTAAAGAAACCCTTACCTTTGTCGCGAATACTGTTGTTAGTCCGGCCGAAAACAGCACACACAACCTTGACGAACGCGGAAAAACGGTATATAAGAGGACCTCGACCAGATGCACCAACATGGCGGACGACGGCCTTAGCTTCCTGTGGGCGGTACGGTATGACGTTAATTGCAACCCACAACCACAGTGCAAATTGAGGGGTTAAAAACGAAAACGAAGCTGATTTTACCTGCATTCCTTTTTCGTTTTAGTTTGTGTTGCACTGCTCATTGTAGTTTTTATGTAGTTTTTTTTAACTGTCATTTTTATTTTTTCTTAAGTTAAAATTGTTTTTTCATTCTTAGTTTTACTTTTCATTAACTATAACAAATCAGCCTCTGATCAGGCGTGCAGAGGCCTATTCCTGCTGTGTTCAAATGTTTATCTCGTGCCATTGCTCAGCAGTGACCAGAAAGGTCCAGGGATGATTCTGCCCCTGTGGGACCATGCTCCAACGGCCAGTGGAGTTCTCTGACAAAGACCTCGCTTGACTGGCTGATCTATGTTTGCCCTCCTGCCTACTGCTTGAATGCAGTATAGCTGAGTTTATCATCTGTGAAAATGACAAGCCCTGCAGCCCAGGAAGGAGTGAATCAGAGCAACAGGAGCCTCCTTGGGGGGTTAGGTTGTCAAAGATGACCACCAGAAAGGACAAAGTCCCAGTTTTCCGAGGCACAGACTATAAGGGGTCATAAATCATGGCAGTCTATGTAGCATGCCGTACTACGCAGCTCATAAATACTGCTCTGGAACATGGACATAACATGCGTAATGATCCAGGCGTGATCTAATGATCATCATAAATCCCACACTGGCACTTCATCTCAGGTTAGCACGTCCTGTCATAATTATTGTGTATCCCCATAGGTCTACTTTTTCATGTCACCCGTCGGGGCCGTTTGTATCAATTGCTTCGACTCGTTGCCAGATGTGATTATTGCACCATTCCCAGTTACAGGTATTCGCACATGATCTCAAACTGAGATTACGTACAGCTGCCCAAGGTTAAGTATACAGTGTTCACTTCTCTCCTCTTGCTTCTTCTAAATTTCTGAGGATCTGCTTCTGTTTTTTTTTCTTCAGGATAATTACAGCGATTGCTTGCGGGACTCCTCCCATGTAGACTTCAAAGCACGCAAAGCCAAAACCAAATTATGAGCCGTAGCCCCGGTACTGCAATGTCATTTTCCGATAAATAGATACAGCTCTGCTCTGGGCGGAGCCCGGCCAGCTCTCACTGTACTTCTTAGGCCGGCGCGATGAGCCACGACACGGCAGAGCGGCAGCTGTAGCGAAGCCAGTCTGATTAACATCCCGCCCGTGGGTTTGGGACGACGTAGAAGTGGGAGGCAGAGGAGCTTTTCGGGTGGGGGGGGTGAAGGAGCCAGAGCTGCTGACTATGTGAAAGTGAGAGATTAGAAGCCTGAGCCCCCCCCCCCTCCCAGCACACCCATTATGTGTAGAGATTCATTTCTTAGTAATCTACAGTAGAGTACTGCTAGCAGCTACATGGAGAGTCCTGCCACGACTGACGCTCCTGTGGATGGACGGCCAGTGCCGGAGATAACGGCCAGGGGAGCAGCGGCGGCAGTGGCCTCTCCCCAATGCCACAAAAATGTAACGTAAATGAAAACAGCCAGCTGAAGCCATGCATGTAACACAGCGCTTCCCCGCTGAGCCCACCAGCAGGGAGCAGCAGACATTTCCTACTGTATCTCACGATGCATCCGGCAGGCACAGAAGCCTTGGGTACCTTCGAAGATGCCCATGCTGTAATGTACCCTTGAGTGACAGGGAAATCCTTTCCAGGTGACTGGGATTCTGATTGCACAGTTGTGTTAATAATAGCTACAATTAATGTAGGGGAAAATGAATGTGATTTCCACAGTGCCCATCAGGGAATGAGGGTCAGGAGTGAACAGGCCTACATTCCGCTACTCGCACCTCACCTGCCAAACCCCAGTGTATTATACCAGTGGTAGTTTGCAGTGTGCTTACAAACCCCAGTGTATTATACCGGTGGTAGTTTGCAGTGTGCTTACAAGTGTGGACTATTGCCATAGAAACCAAAGGCAGACAGATAAGAGGGCCTCAGACAGCTTAATCAATTCCATACACAATCAAAAAGTTATCCTGTCTATTAGCTGCGTGAATTTATTTGTCAGTTGTTGCTTGCATTGTTTGTATATATTTGCTATTTTACACTTTATTAATCCCCGTGGGGACATTGTTTTTACGCCTCCCTCAACTTGCTCTTTTGTAGAGCAAGTTGTCCGCGAAGGGCAGCCACCCGTAGCAGCGCCCAGGGAGCTGAACAAAATGAACAAAATTTTACTGAACAAAAAGAGTGAGGAAATGGCGTATGTATTTTTTTTCTGGAATACAGTCTTACAGGTTCTACTTTGAGGGATTAACGCTTCTCTGCAAGTCGGCTGTGGGGCACTGGAACTGATAAACTTGGCTTGTTTCACACACTCTAATCCTACCATGTCAATAGTCAGATAATCCCGCAAACGGAGTTTCAAAGCAAAGAAGCAAACATATCAGGGGCCTGACACCCCTGTCAGTAGAGGTACACAGCAACAAAGTCCTGTAGAGGAAGAAGTAGTCCAGGGGGGTGGGGGTGGGGGTGCTGCATCGAAACATGACCTACACTGTGAGCCCCTCCTGTGACCTCTGACAAAAAAGGGTGAAAACGAATAACTCTTCTAAAGCCTGTCTACAAAAAGCAGACTGGGGGAAAATATCAAATAGGATTTAATTTGATCCATTTTAAAATGGAGTTAAGTAGACAGGCAAAGTCAGGAGCTGGAGGTGAGTGAGAGAACCAAAAGGTTGGCATGGTAACATATCTAGGAGGAAGAATAGAGGTGGAAAGAGTGACGAATGCTGCACTGATGCCTGGACAGTGAGTTCACACTAAACAGGGTGTCTAAAGCTGTAATGCTGAGGGATTCACACACTGTTTTTGAGGGAAGAACGATTTTCACTTAGGAAACAGACACAACTAACAATGCAAGACTTTGTTATTTTGTGAAGCCGATCCAAAAAGCCAGGCCTCATGGTTTAATAGTGCTCACATTTTTGTTAGATCTGGAAAAGGGAACAGTAAAACCCCAAAGCAAAAACCCAAACACTTCAAACATCATCCCCTTAACTCAGGTCTTGTTACATGACAAAAATCACAAATGCCGGGTTGCCAACTCTCATGCATCTGGTATGATACTCGCTCATTCAGACTCACACTCGCGGAGGAAATCTTACGGCAAATCTATATTTTTCCATCATAAACCTAAAATCAGCAAAATCAAAAGCGTTAGGGTTGTTGCCAGACACTCCAGACTACTTGCAAGGTAATAAAGCTGTTATATATATGTAAATGTATGTGTAAATGCATATAAAATAAAACTGTGTAAATGCATATATGTAAATGCATGTGCCTGTGTGTGCAGACTTGTCTTGAATTGAAAATCTCACGTCAGCCACCTGACTGAAGTTGACAACCCTACGAATGTGAACATTAAACAACATCTCCTTAACTCTGGTCTTGTAAAATGACAAAATAATCAAGAATGTGAGCACTTGTTTTTAATGTCAATTACTTTCCCACATCTTAATTCACAAAAGGACTACTGAAACACAACAGTACATGCATATCTATCTATCATTATTTGTTCATGTAATACAGGTGTGACCTTATATTTCAGGTATTGATATTGACCCTGCCTGATCCTTATTCCAATGCACTCGCAATATAAACCATGTGTAAAATGAAAACACTGGAATCTTTTTGGCTGGCTGACCAATGATGTACCACCATATGCTAGCTATGGCTAGCTAGTTTCTCCTTCTCTACCTTTGTGGGTACCTGTGTACTTTCTTTGACTACTGTTAAAATGTAATGGTATTTGCTTGTTGACAATGAGAACACTGTCAGTGTTTTGCTGTAAACATCCAACGTTCCTTCTCTCAATAATCGTGATCCATTAATATTTCTTGTTGAATACTTTTCTCCGCAATCACTTCAGAACATGAAATGATTGAAAAATATATACTATTTCACAAACAGGCCAACGAAAGAATATAATATAATGTACACATATATGTCATTTTTACTCACATGGTCTAGAATGTGGCATTAAGAATGCACCTATTCTAAAGTGATTATGACAATTTGTCAAATGCAGAATCAGCTAAATGGGATTAGGCTCTCACTGTTTTGTTGAAAAGCAATGGAAATCCATAGAAGCCATAAATCGGTCTCACTCCAGTTTACTTGTAGGACTGAAGCTGCAGGGCGGCTCTGGAGTTTAGGAAAGACCCGGTGATTCATTACACAGAGGCAAGGAGAAAGAAAAACAGAAAGAGAGATTATGAAAAGGTGAAAAGAATTGTGCGGAAATAGGCAAAGTCCACAGCTACATAAGGGAACTGAAATATGTTGAACGATACATTTTTCATTTACACTGATGAGTGTCTTTAGCCCTGCTGTGTATGGGGCTGTGTAATCATGGATCAGCCTTGGCAGACAGATGCATCCCACAGATGCTTGACACATACAGTACCTGTCCGTCCACATGATGTTATAGGACGTGGGATTCATCGGACCAGGTGACTTTTTTCCATTGTGCCAAAGTCCAGTTCCAATGTTTTTGTGCTCATTTAAAGTGTTTTCAACACTGGATAGGCGTCAGCATGGGCACTCTGACTGGCCAAAACATATTACTCCCGTGATCACCATTAAAATTATCTGGCATTTGTGGCACATTAGCCCTTCTGTTAGTTCATAGCAGAAAGGATAATGTGGGTTCCCTGTTTGTCCACCATCCTGTTGGTGGTACTGTAAGTAGTATTTCCCTCCTCAGACCACTCTCATTAGGTACTCACCGTGATTGACTGAGAGCACCCCACAAGTATAGCCATTTCGCAGATGATCTGAACCAGTGGTCTGGCCATAATGAATTGGCCCTTGTCAGAGTCACTTAGACCTTTATCCAAGCCCATTTTGTCTGCATTCAACATGTCAACTATGAGCACTGAATGCCGGTGTGGTAATTTCAAACTGAAAAAGGACCACTCAACAACTTCATGCCAAACAA